GCTCAAGTGGTAGAGCGCTAGCTTTGAGCTGAAGAGCTGAGGGACAGTGCCCAGGCCCAGAGTTCAGGCCCCATGACCGGACCCAAAAAAAAATAAAAAAATAAAAGCAAAGCAGGGCACTGGTAACTCATGCCTGTAATCCTAGCTACTCAGATGGTTGAGATCTGAGGATGGAGGTTCAAAGCCAGCCCAGAGAACAAAAGTCTAAGAGAGCTGGGCACCAGTGACTCATGCTTATAATCCTAGCTACTCAGGAAGCTGAGATCTGAGGATCATGGCTTACAGACAGCTGGGAAAGAAAGCCCGTGAGACTCTTTACCTCCAATTAACCACCAGAAAACTGGAAGTGGCGCTGTGGCTCAAGTAGTAGAGGGCTCACTTTGAGCTGAAGAGCTTAGGACAGTATCCAGGTCCAGAGTTCAAGGTCCACCACCGACCAAAAAAAAAAGTATGAGACTCTTAACTCCAATTAGTCCCCAAAAAGAAGTAGAACTGAGGCTCAAGTGGTAGTTGAGTTCAAGCCTCAGTACCAGCACAAAAAGAAAAAGAAAAGAAAAAGAGAGAGAGAGAGAGAGAGAGGAAGAAAGAGTGAGAGAGAAGAAGGAAGGAATAATTAACTGACAGAGCACTTACTTAGCATATACAAGGCCCTGGGTTCAATCCCTAGTAACTGCAAGAAGGAAGGAAAGAAGGAAGGAAAGGAAAGAGTAGGGGAGAAAGGGTCTGAAGGAGGGAGGGAGGAAAGGGGAGAGGGAGGGAAAGAAGAAAAGTGAGTGAGTTGTTCCCATTCTAGTCTTCATCTTCCTGTTTAGCCCGGGGGAGAGGTGATATTGAGGTACTTGCTTCTTCAGAGGAACCCTTGAAGTCTCTTCTTTCAAGGAAGTAGGAGCCCTTATAGACAAGGCCTGAATGTGCTCTAGGAGTGGGGATCCAGGTGGGAATCAGGCTAACAATTGTTGAGCATTCACTATACCCCCTGAACCCTCAGAACAACCCACAGGGGAGTCTCCTTATTATTCCCATTGTCCAGATGCAAAGACTCAAACCCAGAGAGGTGAAGTAGTAGGTCTGAGATCACACACCTGGTAGACTCATAACCAGTGTAGATCTAGGCTGTGGTCCCAGAGGCAGTGCTCTTAGCCTTCCAGCTGCTGGAAAATACTTGCTGAGCACCTATTATGTCCTACGAATTGTGCTAGGCTTCAGGAACACAGTGGTAAACAAAGCCAACCCTGTCCTTAGCAACCAGAGGTGTTTCTCCCCCCCCCCCAGCTTTTCCCCTCTCTGGATAAGCTTCCCCAACCATATCTGCCCATCCAGCCAGAACATTTTGTGACCTTTTTCTCTTATTGGCCACATCTCACCTATCACCTTGTCCTATATATAGCATTTAAGTCTCAACTTGCCTTTAGTGCCGCTTCTCTGCATGCACACAGACACTTGCTCACTTCCCACCAATTTCTACACAGCTCCTGCTCTGAACCTCCTGTCCTGATCCAGAGGGATCTTCCTGAAAGAAAGCCATGGGCCAGGTGCCAGTGGCTCACACCTGTAATCCTAGCTACTCAAGAGAATGAGATCAGAGGATCGTGGTTCAAAGCCAGCCCAAGCAGGAAAGTCTATGAGACTCCTATCTCCAATTAACCACAAAGAGCTGGAAGTAGAGCAGTGGCTCAAGTAGTAGAGTGCTAATCTTGAGCATTCTAAAGCCCAGGGATAACACCCATGCCCAGAGTTCAAGCCTCAGGACCAGCAAAAAAGAATGAAAGAATGATAAAAAGGAAGGAAGGAAAGAATAAAAGGAAGCCATGCCTCATTCAGCAGGTTAAAACCCCATTAGTGCCTACTCAGTTCCCTGAGAATCACAAGCTGGGTGGCCTGATGCCACCTATCTGTCAGTGAGTGCCAGCCACACTCCCCCGCCCCCTCCCCGAGTGCTGCTAGCCACATCCCCACGTCCCAGTGAGGAAGCTGAAAGTTCAAAGAATCTAGTAAGGAGCAGCAAGTAAGAAGCAGAAGTGCCTCTTGAACTCTGGCCTCTGATTCTCAAGGTCATGTGCCTAACCATTATGTATAACAACCTTTTTTGTTCTCCTTGCTGTTCTGGCTCCTCCCTACTGCTCTTACCTGATCCCAATTTGTTGTGCAGGTTCTAACCATAAAAAAAACAATGCCTTGGAAGTGGCACTGTGGCTCAAGCAGTAGAGCGCTAGCCTTGAGCTGCAGAGAACAGGGACAGTGCCCAAGCCCAGAGTTCAAGCCCCACAACCAACCAAAAAAACAAAAACAAAACCAATCTGAGTCACATCTGGAAACTTCCTAATAGTACATTTATTTATATATTTTGGCCAGTACTGGGGCTTGAACTTTGGGTCAGGGCATCGTCCCTGAGATTTTTTTTTTTTTTTTTGATCAAGACTAGTGCTCTACTTGAACCTGGCTACATGTTCCTTTTGTTAAAAATAAAAAGGCTGCTGGGCCTTGGTGGCTCATGCCTGAAATCCTAGCTACTCAGGAGGCTGAGATCTGAGGATTGAGGATCAAAGTCAGCCTAGGCAGAAAAGTCTGTGAGACTCTTTTTTTTTTTTGCGGGGGGGGTCCGGTCGTGGGGCCTGAACTCTGGGCCTGGGCGCTGTCCCTCAGCTCTTCAGCTCAAGGCTAGCGCTCTACCACTTGAGCCACAGTGCCACTTCCGGCTTTTTTTTTCTTTCTGCTTATGTGGTGCTGAGGAATCAAACCCAGGGCCTCAGGCATGCAAGGCAAGCACTCTACCACTGAGCCACCTTCCCAGCCCCCAAGACTCTTATCTCTACTAAACTACAAAAATAAAGCCCCTATGAACCCAGAAGTTTAGCTATGGTTCACGTGGTAGAGGGC